TTTGGTTTATTTTCCTGAAATCCTGGCTTGCTGGTGACTGTTACTTTTTGCGCTTAAAAAGAAAAAAAATAGAGATGTTCTCTCTCAAATTACAATAAATTCCCTGGGTTAGTTATTACTGCAGACTGTCTCTTATCTACAGACTGAATCAAGTATAACTCAGAGAAGCTATTTCCTATTCTCAAAAATACTTCAAGCCTTCTAATCCTAAGTGAGTTTCTAGTTTGCTGTGCATAATCTGTAGATTTAAAAATGAAATAAAATAACTCAAAATATTGATTTAACATTTTCTTATAAAGTCCATCTCCGATAAATGTATCTACTTCTCTATTTGAAAATAATTACAGGATTAGCTCATTTTATATACAACAGGAAAAATGACAGTAAAAATAAAGTTGATGTACAATTAACACAAAATAACAGCAAATTAAACAGTTGGAGCTAATATGCCCTTCTACGAAATGGGGAATCGTCAGTTTATTACTTTACTTAACGCTTCTCAACTTCAAATCCTTTCACTGTTGATATAATTGAGGACACTCTTAAAACTGTACCTTTAAAAAGGGCCTAATACTTCCTGTGACAGATCATGGAACAAGGGGTTTATTAGATAATACAGGATACAAATTAAGCCATCTGTAAACTCCTGAATGTTCATCATATAGCTGACATTAACTAAACAGAAATATGTTATCTGTAGGTATTTTCTACAAATTCAAAAACTTTTGAAAATGACTTCTGAAATGTTTTGGCTTGATCAATTATCTCTATCACATATATTTAGTCCCTCCATAATGATATTTAAAGTAAATTTTAATGTAAACTTTTGTATCCCATAGTGCACATTATAAAAATGTAAACATAAAAGCTTTATTAATGAAAATAACCAAGAGGAAAAAACGCCTAACAGACTGTGCGAAATTAAGGTGTTCTACGTATACCTTTAATGATCCTATGGGATAGCAAAACAACCATCAAGTTTGCTATCAATTTGTGCTCTGATTCTCTCTTACAGAAAAAAGGAAAACTGTTTTAAGCAATTTTTTATAGAAGAAAATATTTAAATTTTATTAACAGTAAGTGTAATGCTTCTATTTTGCTCCTCCTTTGTTGCCTTAAGAACAATCGGTAATAATCTCAGATGAGCCTGCATTATGAGATTACTTCCTTCCAAGCCATCTCGTTCCTGTCTGTAATGCTCTTCTAGGAACCAATCATTTATTGTCCACTGACGGTCTCATTTGTATTATACTCCAATACAGAAATAATTTAGTTACCAAAATGCACATATTTTCCTTTCCTTTTGGCTTTTTAAAACCTTGAAAGGACATGTACAGATTTATAGTATATTTCTACAGAAAATATTTTGTAGGTCATCAGACTAGACTCTTATATAGATAATTATTGACAAGAGATGCTTGTAATTTTCCATGCGACAGCATGTGCACTAAGATTTAATTGGCTCATCACCTGGGTGTACTGGAACTGTTAGCAAATAAAGGGCATTTTAAAAAGGGAGCTGAGCATTTTAGTGAAATAAAGAAACTTTTTTTTTAAGCAATTTTAATTAAATAATGCAAAGGTACATTTGGTTAAACATTTTATAAAAATTCAAGCAAAATTAAAAATTTAGCCAATTTCAACATTTCTACAAAGGTAACCAGTAACTATTTTGGTCAAATCCACCTTTAGCTGAATTAATGAGAACAAGGACAAGGGACATTGAAGTATTCTCCTCACCACAATGGAGGTTTTTCTCACTTTCCACACTGTATAGCCACTACATGGAAACTCCCAGAATGATGAGCAGTTCAGTCATGCTCTACACTTTTCTTTTCAATGAAAAGTGATGTATCACCTTGTTTTGCTTTTGACAAAATATGGACTAAACACAAATATACAATAACAAGAATCCAAGAGTAGCCCATACACAAGTCAACTATGTGTATGTTTTTATTATTTAAAGCCCACCATTCAGCTTATCTGTCTAAAGATATGGTAACAAACAGTTTGTTTCTTTTTCACTAATGATACTGATGACCAGTCTGTTTAAGGAAGGGAAAGTCCAAGACAGCGGTTCATAATTCAGTCAGTGACACAAACATAACTATTTCAGCTTCAGGACCTCTGACTTATTGCCTCTCCCTCAAAGAGGTCAAACACTGAAGGCAGATACGACAGCACAGACTCTTTTGGCATATGCAAGTTTAATACAGGAATGATCCAGGAATAGTCCCTGCCAGGTCTCCTCGACATCCCCCTTTGTTTCTTCGTCTGTAACACGTGACCTGCTTAGTTCCCAAACCGTCACCTCAGAGCTGGCACACACCATAGACTCCACTTTGAGTGTCTGTGGACACTCCTCCTCAGTTAAAGCCACATGACTGAGGGAAAACAGTGCGTGATTGTGCTAGGAAAGAGCAGTATCCAGTGACGAACATCCCTTTAATGTTAACTTTCCTAAAGTGAAACCGATAAAATAAAAAAGGAAAATTCTTTTTCCTTCTGGCTGACGTTGTACTTAGTTGGATTTCTAGCTGTCAGAACTGGTACCACTTCTTGTCTTTGTATTTCAACATCATCTAGAGGGGAGAAAACACGAAAAACATTTTTAAAAAATGCCAGAATGACAACATTTATGTTATAAATCATTGCTATGTTTTTCCAAAATATATCATTCGGAAGGGTTCTACAGTGTTACTATGTTGCTTACTTCAAATAATTTTATATAGAAAGCAGTAGGAACTGTTCCATTTAGAGGAAAAAAAAAAAGACCGTAACCATTAAGAACTGTAGCCCAGAAGGTCCTCTTATTTCTTAGAGATGGGACATAATTCAACTTTGGCTCAGTAGATTCTTTGGTGACCTAAGGTAATACCTTACAAATAAAGTAATTTTCAGTTCTCTGGTTTGAATTCAAAATGAGGTTAAAGAACCTGGGGAATGAGAGGTTGGAAACACTACTCTTGCTCCCATCCGAAATTTCCTGAGCCCATAGTCTTGAGCTAGGCACTATACAGCAGTCTTTCCTGACACGACTTCATCTGGTTCTCACAACTTTATGGGTTAGAGATTATTATTTTCCTTATCTTATAAAGGAAGAAAATGAGGCTCATATGGGTTACCCAAGGTAACACAAAAGTGAAACTGGTATCTCAGCACACATAGTCTTATACAAGAACCCATGAGCTTAACCACCTCAATGTATTGTCTTCACAGACTCTTAAATACGGCTCACAAACAACATTTGGTACAAGGGAAAAGCTAACAGTTTGAGACAAAGCTCTTGGCTAAATATTTAGAGTGTGGATATTGTGAAATCAGCTCAAGTGTTATATGCATTAGAGATCGCAGTCAGATGCAGGGTTATGCCAACAAAATTCTTGACCTAGATTGAAGGTCACGAGCCTGTATCTGAGGTGTGTGTCAGCACTGTGAAAGCATCTCCAAATCTCTTTGAAGCCCTGGACAAATCTCTCCCAGGTCAAGTTACCTCTTTCACGCATTCCAGATGTCAGCATTCTTGAGCAAGGAAAAGATGACTTTTGAATGAAAAATTTAAAGAGCTACTGCTGATAGATTGGTTATTCAAATATAAAAATAATTTTAATAAGGTTTCTTCAGGTAACAAACTAAAAACGTCCTCAAGGGCTAGGCTAGGAACTCAATGTGTACAGCAGCCCAGTGGAAAGCATCAAGGACAGGCAGACTATGTGTCAAAATGAAGATGTAGAGTCTACCGAAGGGGCCTTTAAATCCAATTTTTTAAGTGTTCTTATGCTGGCCAATAAAGCATATTTGTAAGAAGGCCAGCTAGGGGTCCCTTCTTAAAGTATCTGTTTCTAAGATCCACCATGATTTCTGAATTCATCAAGATGAATTCATTGTAAAAATCCATCTCATTAGCCCTGTGGATGAATTGGTCTACAGACAGATTTAGTATTGTCTACTTGAATAAAAATGGTTGCCAATTTTAGTTACTTAGATCTAAAGAATCAAGAGAGGCAAATTATTTCCTTTTCTAGAAATTAGTAGTAACATCTGAGCCTTCTGCATTCTCTAAAAACAGTTGCAAAGCCATTGGTTTTATTTACAAAATTTACAAAAAGCCTGAAGGTGAGCAGGTTCCTTCAAAATTTATAAACTTCAGTAAGAGAACAAAGGCTACTGAGACATATCCTTGTCGTGGTTCCCTCTGGTGGCAAGAATCAGGAACTTGATTGTACAGAGAATAAATGAAAGTTCTCCTGTAGAAATATAATAGCTATTAAAAGAAAAAAAAAACAATTTTCATACTTGCTTCACCTAGATTATTTTGTTTAAATATTTGTCTGCTAGACATACCTCATGAGCATGTTTAGAAAACGAATCTGCACTAGACAACATAGCTGCGGTTCTTTCTTCCAGATCACCAAGCTTCTGCCCTCTTTCATCTAGGGCCAACCTGGCTCGTGCTAATTCACCGACGACTCCAGATGCCGCCCCTTTCACACCTTCGATGCCACCTGGGCCAGGGATATGCTGTGCAAGACTCCTTGAAGCCTTTCCTGAGGACGATTCTCCAACTGAATGATTTGATAAATGAAAGAGTAACTTAAGAAATGAAAATTTTATTAATATATATGATATTAGTATACATGATAACATTAAAACACAATTTTCAGGTTGATATTGACAATAAATTGAAATATGTATATATTCACTTTATGTTTTTCATAATGATTTTAATAATTTTTTAGTTTTTTAAACATGTAAAAACAGAATGTACATTAATAGTGTCCTCTATACTAGTTTATGTCACAAAACTTGTGTAAAAAGGTACTAATAATTCTTTCTTGCAATGAATAATAGGTATACTGATACTAGTTTACATAACAGTAAAAATTACTTAGGTGTGCAAAAAATTAAAGATAAATTAAACATACAGATTTGATTTAGTTTCTTCCATGCTTTCTCATCCTTTAAATACTGTGCTTAGGTTTAGAAGTAGAGGAAAATGCAGAATTCATTTATTATTCTACTTTAGTCTCCAAAAGTGTAGATACGCTGAATCTCTTTCTTTCTCTCCATTTATCTTGTCACTTGCAAACAGACCAATTTTTTTTCCCTTCAAAAGATCTCAGGAATTCACTGCTTCCTTTCCCTCCATAATCCAGACCTTGATTCCCTAATATCTAGGTTACTGTAAAAGTCTTACATTATGTTAAAGACTGAGGTCAGATTTCCCCTCTTCCCTCAGCATACATTTCTTTCGCTGGAAATATAATTCACATACCATAAAATTTGCCCCTGAATAATTCAGTAACTTTTAGTTTATTTAGAAGGTTGTTTAACCACCATCACTAATTCCTAACATTTTCATGACTTCAAAAAAATAAATAAAACAAAAAAACCAACACCAAAAAACAACCCCATCCTTATTAGGAGTCACTTTCCATTCCTGCTTCTTCTCAGTCCTTGGCAATCAACAATCTACTCAGTCTTTATAAATTTTACTATTCTGAACATTCGTATAAATGGATTCATACAATATGTGGTCTTTGTATCCAGCTTCTTTCACTTAAAATAATGTTGTCAAGGCCCAACATGTGGTAGCACACATTGGTACTTCATCCCTCCTAATGACTGAATAATATTCGATTGAATGGATATATGACATTTTAGCAGTTCATCAGTTGATGGACCTTTGAGTTGTTTCTACTTTTTGGCTATTATGAACAGCTGTTAATGAACATTTGTACAAGTTTTTGTGTGAACATATATATTCAATTCTCTTGGGTGTACATCAAGGAGTGGAATTGTTGAGTCATGTTTTAACTTTCTGAGGGACTTTCAGCTCTCCAGAGAGATTACAGCATTTTTATATTTCTGCCAGCAATGTAGGAGATTTTCAATTTCTCCACATTCTTGCAAACATTTATTTTAAATCTCTTAATGTTTTATTTATTTTTGAGAGAGAGAGAAAGCAGATACAAGCGGGGGAGGTGCAGAGAGAGAGAGAGAGACAGAATCGGAAGCAGGCTTCAGGCTCTGAGCTGTCATTGGAGAGCCCGATGATGTCGGGCTGGAATTCGTGAACTGCGAGATCATGACCTGAGCCAAAGTTAGACAGCTAATGGACTGAGCCACCTAGCTGCCCACCCCCCTTGCAAACATTTATTATTGAACAGATTTTCAATGACAGCCATTCTAGTGTGAAGTGGCATTTATTTGATTTCCACTTCCCTAATGACAAGTGATGATGTATATCTTTTCATGTTTATTGGCCATTTGTATATTTTGTCTGGAGAAAAGTCTATTCAAACCCATTTAAAAACTGGGCTATTTTTCTTTTACTGTTAAGTTGTGAGAATTCTTTATATATTTTAAATACTAGACTCTTACCAGATTCCAGATCTGTCACATATAGGATCTGTAGTATTTTATTACTATCTGTGGGTTGTCTTTTCATTTTCTTGACAGCGTTCTTTGATTTTTAATTTTAATGAAATCCAATTTATTTTTTTCTTTGGTTGCTTGTGATTTAGATGTCACATCTAAGAAACCGCTGGCTAATCTACGGTCACAGATATTTATACCGATGCTTTTTTCTATCACTTTTACAGTTTTAGTTCATACATTAAGGTCACTGATCCATTTTGAGTTATGTATGGTATGAGGTGGGGAAACAACTTTATTCTTTTGCATGTGGATATCCAGTTGTCCCCACCATCTGTTGAACAGACCATTCTTTCACCTTTGGATTTTCTTGGCATTCTTGTAGAAAACCAATTAACCATACATGTATGGATTTATTTCTGGATTCTCAATTCTATTCCATTGATCTATATTACCTGTCCTTATGCCACTACTGCACTATCTTGATGATTATAGCTTTGTAGTAAATTTACAAATTGAAACGTGTGAGTCCTCCATCTTTTTTCTTCTTTGAACAATTTTTGTGTATATGTGGCTGTTTTGGATCCTTTCCATTTCCATGTAAATGTTAGGAACAGTTTCTTTCTTTCTTCAAAAAAAATAGTTGCGATTTTGACAGGGATTGTGTTGAATGCACAGATCAACTTGAGGAGCATGGCCATCTTCCCAATATTAAATCTTCCAATCCATGAACATAGGATGTCAATCCACTTATCTATGATTTAATTTCTTTAAATGATGTTTTTAAGTTTTTAGTGCATTTTACACTTCTTTTGTTAAATCATTCCTAAGTACTTTATCTTTTTGATATTATCAGAAATGGAACTGTATTAAATTTTCAGTTTCTTCACTGCTAGTATATGAAGAAAAGCAATTGATTATTTACATTGATCTTGTACCTTGCAATCTTGCTGAACTTGTTTATAATTTATATATACATATATAACATATATATAAAAATATAAAACATACACATATAAAATATATATATAACATATACATAAATGCATATAACATATACAGATATATATGTATATATATTATTTGGGTCTTTAACTTCTTTCAACAAACTTCTATAATTTTCTATTTTCCCTATAGAGGTCCTAAACATCTTCTGTTAAGATGTATATCTAAGTATTTGACCTTTTTTTTTTTTTTTTTTT